TCATTCAGACATTTCAAATAACTCTATAATAATAATATATAATAATGCCAAAACCACCGAGGGCAGGAAACTCCCACCAGCTCCCCTTCAGAAAGGCTGAAATGAAGACACAAAGTTAAAGGCTAACATTTATAAAGTCCCTGCTTTCAAGAGGTCTGTGCTGGGGGATTGTCACGGTAGATAATCCAGACCAAACTCCAAGGATACCCCAAAACTTCCCAAGTACCCACAGCTGCACATTAAATTGGGTGAAACCACTGACCAGAAAGACACACACAAGTTTCTTCATGTCTCAGTGTCCTCAGAAAAAAGGGATGACAATAAGCAAGGGAGGCAAATGCCTCTGAACTGGCTTCCCCAGTTCCAGAAGGACAGGGAACTGCTGGAGAGGGGAGTCTCCTTCTCTGGAGACATTCCAAACCCACCTGGACACCCACTGCTGTGGGTGACCCTGCTGTGGCAGGGGGTTGGAGGAGATGATCTCCAGAGGTCCCTTCAACCCCATAGCATTCTGTGATTCTGTTATAACCTGTCACAAACGATACATCTCAGCAGATTTTGGGTTTTTTGTTCTTGACAGTTGGGGTGTCCTGGGGGATCTCCCCAGTTGGAGCTGAAGGCAGGGGGGCTACTGAAGATCTGTCATTTGCCAACAGCTGGACTTTCAGATGAGTGTATGAGCCCCAGACTTGAAGGACATGGTTTTCCAATAAACAAAACAAGTCACATTTCACTGCTATCTGAAGTCAAAGATTAAAAATCCATTGCACTGGGTCTGGCCCTTTCATTTAAAACAAGTAAGGTCAATGTTCTATAAGAAACTGAAGAACACTGTCACATGTATCTGGGAATAAAAACCAGATCCCAGCTAACCTGTCACAAACGATACATCTCAGCAGATTTTGGGTTTTTTGTTCTTGACAGTTGGGGTGTCCTGGGGGATCTCCCCAGTTGGAGCTGAAGGCAGGGGGGCTACTGAAGATCTGTCATTTGCCAACAGCTGGACTTTCAGATGAGTGTATGAGCCCCGGACTTGAAGGACATGGTTTTCCAATAAACAAAACAAGTCACATTTCACTGCTATCTGAAGTCAAAGATTAAAAATCCATTGCACTGGGTCTGGCCCTTTCATTTAAAACAAGTAAGGTCAATGTTCTATAAGAAACTGAAGAACACTGTCACATGTATCTGGGAATAAAAACCAGATCCCAGCTTAAACAGGGAGGCACAGTCCATACAACACAGCTCAAGGCATAAGTGCAACCTCAAGGCATCACACACCAACAACTGGGTGGCTTTTGTCACAAGAGGAAGAAAGCTTATTGAGAAACTGAAGTCATTTTCTCTTCAACAAAAGTTAGAGACTGATTTAAAAGCTTTAACTTAGTTATTTCTAAATGCTGAGTTTGCTGTGCTCTGTATGTTCCTTGGGGCAGGAAGCCTGCCAGCAGTCAGGCAAAAATACTGCCCAGCAGATGCTCACCTGGGAGTTGGATTAACTACTTTTCGTAGGAATCTATGTTGGATTAAACATTTCATTTAGTGCAGAGGCACAAAACACATTCCCACAGTCACCCACAAGAGAAAGCACCATTAACACAATCTGACACGTAAATTAAATGAAGTTCTAGAATGATCTGATCTTTCCATGGAGGACAAAAGGGAAGATGCTGCTTGGATGTAAAGGGGGAAGGGGTCAGGCAACTCATGCAGGAAGGCTTCCATAACCTTTAATAATAATAATTACTCCCCTGAGCCTAATGAGATGAACTCTGAGATGAAGTCTGAGCCTAATTAGATGGAGACTACAAGATACTGAGGTGAGATGTTACCGTGCGGGCACTAAAAGAAAGGAAAAGTTGGAAGGAGGCAGAAGGAGACATGGGAACAGAAGAATTTATGGACAATGACCAGGTGAGCACACGTGCTGAGCAGCCATGGCTACAGGGGGTACCAGCGGTCGATCACCAGAAGGTCCAGCTCCACCGGGCACCACAAACCACACAACCTCCCGAAGCCACCTGAGCTCCCCAAGGATGCTTTCACTTGATAACTCAGCTACAAGTTTTCCTGCAACTCTGGCAAATATTTGATAAACTCTACAAATATTATGACAATAAATATTGCTATTTTGACCCAAACAGCAGCAAAAATACATAACAGAAACCCAGGGAAGCACCAGCTTTCTGAAACCCCCTTAACAAAAACAACAGGCAAATTCTGCAAGACAAATGAAGTGTCCTTTTGCTGTGACAACTGCATGCACACGCATCCAATTTTTAAAATAAACAGGGTTATTATCAAGGGATATTGAGCAGATGTGAAGATAGGGATTTGCAAAACTGATGGCACGCAGATGACTTTTAGTGCAAAAGTAGAAATGTAAACTATTTCGAAACAACAGCGCTCAAATATTTTGTTTATTAAATCTTAGTTTAGATTCAGGAAGAGCCCATGAGCAAAACCTTGCTTTCCTTGCAAATACCTATTATTCTATATATTTACAAACAAGCAATCCACATCTAGCACCCTGATGTTCCTCGTGACCACCCAGCTGGAGCTGGGGGCAGATGGTGACAGCAGGGACCCCAGCAGTGCCTGCCCAGCACACCTCAGCACTGCACTCCGTTTGCCCCACTATCAGCAGGTGTCTCAGAAATCAGGATTAATCACCTTCTTATGGACAAAATAAAATCTGGGAGGTCTTTTGCTAACCTGTGATAAACCAAGTGTTCTTTTGCTGTTACTTATGATATCAAACTTCTTTTATAAGCTACGCAGTGAGTGAATTGCTACCGCAGCGCTTCCCTTTCCTCTCCCCCCCAGGCCTGCTCTGCAGAGTGGCTGGATTCCTCTGCAGTCAAAAATAAATCTCTGCAGCAGACACACGGCCCTAGAATTTCTCACTCTTGTTCCAGTTTCTGTTAAACTGCATCATCTCCCTCTTCACACCTTTAGGACAAGCTGAGGGTCAAATATTTGAGCTTGGTTGAGAGACGCACCGTGCAGAGGCAGAGAAGGCAGAAATGCTAACTCCAAGTTACTTCTGCTGACCTGGGAGCTGGCGGGAGGAAAAATCCAATAAATCTGAAATCCCACCCATCTTCAGGATTATTTATTTATTTCACACTCGCTTAGAGCTCCCAAAGACTGCTGCATGGGCTAGCTGAAGTTAGCAAGCAAAATTGCTCAAAAAGATGGTTTTCAACACGTGAGCTGTTCTGAGGGAGAGGGAGCAGCAAAGCCACCAGCAGCTCTGCCAGCCGGGGTGTCCCCAGGTGGCTCAGGGACCTGCAGCTCGGGTGGCCAGGCAAGGACCAGAGTCATGACAGCTTCACACCACACCTAGTTTCCAACCTGGCCACATGGTGGGTGGCTCCAGGGCTTGAAGAAGCCCCTCAAAGACTGGGTTGAGATGAACAAAGACCATGGTGGCTTAGGAACATCTACCCATTCTCCATGTCTTCTCCTAGTCCAGTCCCTACAACCTCAGGAAGCACACAAAGGGCTTCTCCTGGGTGCTATGGGAAGAGTTTCCCACACCACTGGAAAACCTCCAGCTCTTGGCACCCCTTTGGGATCTGTTTTCTTACACACGTGGAGCTTTGTGAAGACAACAACCACTTCAGTTCCCTGCAAACACAACACGAGCAGCTTGTCAGCCACATGGCAATCCCTGCCAAAGCCGCTGTGCTCCTTAATCCCATTCCATTTAATCCAATTTGTTGTCTTAAAGTGCTGTCTCACTTAACACAAGAACTTCATTCAGGATTACTGCTAAAACACAGCTCTCAGCCCGAGGGTCTCATTCATTGTGAGCTACCTCTGAGGCTGTGTCTATCCAGGCAGATGTCCCCAGCCTTTGCAAACACAGGTTCTCCTAAAAAAAAACCCACCCCAAACCAAACAAAAGACACCAAACTGACAGCGGTTGATAATCTCAGATATAAATACCACCAGTACTTCCTTTCTTTAAGTTAGGAAAGTCAAGGTTGTGTGCAGCCCTAAGCCCTGAATCAGGGAGTCAGAGACATTTGGGCAATTCCTCTGGCAGTGGCGGAGGCGGGGAGGTTTGCTCACCACTATTTATGGCAAAATGGAATCAAATCACTGACAAGGGGCATGTGACGGGAAGAGGGAAACCTATTTCCAAGAAGAAATACTCGTCTCAGACTTGTTCATACGATTCCTCTCCTGAATAGCAGTGGAGCAACCACCACATTAATCTTGCTGGATGCTGCAGTCATGTTCCACCACCGCTCCTGCTACTTAGAGAGCACAAGGTGAGTATTGTTCCCTTGCTTTACCGCATGATTGAATTAACAAATGGTATGTGTGCTCCATATATGCCCGGGCTCTCAATGTGGGATTTGTGCACCAAGCCAGCCCCTGCATCTGCTTGAAGCCACCACGAAATGCCACGTGGTCTCAACCCACACGGCAGCAGAACCAACCCTTCACAGACGGGAAGGGCTGGGTTCTCGTATGATGCCTTCGGATGAAACAAACAGCATGTAAGGAAACAAAACACAGATGCTTATTGCACAAATAAACCCTTTACAGCCTAAACCTGTTGCTACTCTTGGACCACAGGGCAGCCCACGATTTTGCTACCCAAGAAGTACCCAGCGACGATTCGGATGCCAAATTCTACATTCACTCACCAAAAGGTCGGCTTTTAAGTAAGTGACGTTAAATTACTTCCGTATCAATTTTCCCATTTTTAACACCTCATGAAAGTAAAAACGAAACCCAACAAAACATAAGTTTGATTTCTTTCCCACACCAGTGATAACAAAGAACTTTGCTGAAACTCAGAGAAATCATCCCAGAATCAAGCAGCAGGAGCGGAGGCATCAATATGTAGTGAGGCACTTTATAAGGGATTTAAGAAATGAAGTTCAGAAATGGCATTGTTAAGTAATGTGTAGTTAAAAGCAACAAAATCTGGGTATGGAGTGGGAAAATACCAGCTGCTGATGCTGTTAAAGAAGCCTTACCAGCCCATCACAGTTGCTGATGGCCACGGAAGCCCCGGGGATGTCGGTGATGTCCCCCACGTAGGCGCAGTTGGTCCAGAGGGGTTCCCTTTTCCACAGCCTCTGGGCAGAGGTTCCAGCCTGGCTCCCGTTCCCAGCATCCTTCCCTGTTTGCACAGAGTCTTCGTACCACTCCACCACGGCCTCGGGGGCCACCAGGCGCGTGTTGGGCTTCAGCCGGAGATGGAATTCCCTCCCGAAGGCGGTGACGTTAAAATACAGCTGTCTGGGGCTCTGGGATGCCTCCCGCGCCCACCTCCTCTGGTGAGTGGCAGAGAGGATATTGGAGACGTAGCTTCCATCTGCGTTGGTGCTGATGGGAATCACCAACCCGTACGGTCTGGGTCTGCTCCTTCGGAATTCTGCCAAGAGAAACAGCCAAAAGCAAACTAAAATTAGAACAAGAGCACGGAAGGAGCCTGAAGATATCTCACACGGAAGGAGCCTGAAGATATCTCCCCTTCCAATAGTCCCACTGTCTCCATTCAGGAGGAGAGGCTGAGGGAGCTGGGGTTATTCAGCCTGGAGAAGAGGAGGCTGAGGGGAGACCTCATTGCTCTCTCCAACTCCCTGAAAGGAGGGTGTAGAGAGGTGGGGTCAGTCTCTTCTCCCAAGTCACAGGCGACAGGACGAGAGGAAATGGCCTCAAGTTGCACCAGGGGAGGTTCAGGCTGGATATTAGGAAAAATTTTTTCACTGAAAGGGTCATCAGCCATTGGAATGGGCTGCCCAGGGAGGTGGTTGAGGCCCCATCCCTGGAGGTGTTCAAAAGACGGGTTGATGTAGTGCTGGGAGGTATGGTTTAGTGATGGTGATGCTTCTTGTTTGTTGTGTGGGTGTCTATTTTTGTCAGTTAGGTTGACGGTTGGACAAGATGATCTTTAAGGTCCCTTCCAACCTAGAAGATCCTGTGATTCCGTGATTCCAATAGCTCCATCCCATTGCAATGGATGCCAATTGGAGCCTCTCTGAATCACTCCACCAGCAAGTTCTGCTGAAGAGCAATAAAAACCTGTGTAGTTTGGAAAAGGACAGGGGACAGTGACACCATGCCAACGGGCAGTAAATTATCTACTAGATTGCCAATTTGGATGCTCTCCAGCATCTTCACTTGGGTTCCCTACAGCAAGGTCTTTACTACTACTTCCTACAAAAATGCTTCGTACAACTTCTACCGAGAGACTGAGAGGACACGTCAGAGAGAAGACAATCATCTGACACATCGTCACGTTGATCAAGCCGTGCCAAACCAGGGACAATGTGAGAGGAAGGACCTGCCACCCTCAGGGAAAGCCAGAAGTAGACAACCACCAGGAGCTCTGCCCAGTTACACACCTCAAATAAACACCCACCGCAGACGCCACAAAAGGCGCATGCAAAAACACCTTCCACATGCCAAAATTTTCAAGAAACGGGTCTTTCATGGCTCTATTTTCATAGAACTTACAGAAAGAAAAAAAACCTGAAATGCTCATTTACATTTATCTGGGGAGTTTCCCAGGGTTTGGGTTTAGAAGCCCCAGAGGAAGCAGCAACCCTTCTGCATTCTCCTGTAAGGAACGCGAGTCCTCCCCACACCTTCAGGAGAACTGCTTGCTCTGGTGGCAGGACCTTTGTTAAGAGCTAGATAATGAAGCCCCAGGCTCATTATAACTGCAATTTGCAGACGTAGCCCTGCAGTCTCAAAAACTGCAACCGGGAAGAGAATCCTGTGGGTATCACATACTGCTGATCAACAAGCTGATGCCACCAGGGGTACAGGCAGTGACTTGTCCCCTTCCATGTCTCCTCACCCAGCACCTTGCTGCTGCCCTTCCTCTTTGTGTAACTAGAGTAACAGAGTTAAAAACAGAGAAGCTAATTATTAAAAAAAAAAAAAAAACAAACGCACAGAACTTTTCACATTTGTACCCAAATCCTGCACTTCACTGTAATACATCCAAGGATAAAACCAGCCAAACCACGCTCTGCTGATAGTACTGAAGAAACCCTCAGGTGATGCCCAATGGCAAGGTGCCCTCATCACCAGGAGCAGTCACTGCCGTGAGACCTCTCATCAGAGAACCATGGTTTGGGTGGGAAGGGACCTTCAAGCCCACCCAGTGCCACCCCCTGCCCTGGGCAGGGACACCTCCCACCACACCAGGTTGCTCCAAGCCCCCTCCAACCTGCCCTTGAACCCCTCCAGGGATGGGGCAGCCACAGGTACCTGAGCCCTGTGGCCAGACAGGGCTGTGGACAACCCACAAGTTCTCTGAAGGCTCACCTGCTTTGGCAGAGGTGTTGGCAGAAAACAAGTAACAGCAAGGAAAGCCCCGTTTTCTAGCATTTTTTATGGTTCCCACCAGTCAGCTCAGGATTCCTGTCTAATCAGCAGCACCATCCGCTGACTGGAAACCTTCCAATTGGGTTCTGAATTTCCCAAGTGAACACAATCCTCCCCCACGCCCAAAAAAGCCCCTTTCTGTGCAGTCCCTTACCTATACCCTGAAAATAGCATTATTAAATTAAGAGAACCATCTTTTCCCTCTCTGCTATTCTTAGGCACCGAGGAGAAAAGGAAGAGCATCTTCTCCTTTGCTCAGAGAAAGGTCTTCTCCCGTTATCCCACCTGCAGCAGGACACACACACGTCCTTCCCGCTGCCCCGGAGTAATTTCACACCACTGTAAAACAAGCCCCTTTAACGAGCACATCTTGTCTGTCAGACCTCTGCAATCTGGCAGGAATCGGGATATTCGGGGTCCAATTTCTCATCCCGTAAAAGGAGAAGGAGAGACATTCCGGGGCCAAACCGCTGCTAAGGACTGGACCACAGCCTAAAGCTTAGTACCTGTGTGTCAGGCTGCCGGAGAGCCAAAAAGACACAAAGCACAGAAATAATTATTCCCTAGCTCTTATCTTCCTCAGAGAGCCGGCTAAAGTGATGTGAGAGTGATATTACTGATAATTTTAATTTTTAAAGAACCTCCACGATTGGGTAGCTCAGATGCTACCGCTGAGCGCCACTGAGAATTCCTCAAATAAATATACTTAATTAAATGAGCTAAATTTTACCCACTCCCAGCATGAATCACACTTGAACCCAGAATTAATAGACAAAAAGCTCAGTAGTTAGTCCCTCAGAGGCATCTGCTTATTTTAAGAGACTCAGGCATTCAGTGAGGAGCTTTAGGAGGAAAACGTTCCTAATGGCTTCATATCACTGTTTTTCCTCCGGTTTTCTTTTAATCCAGTTACTGAAGGATTTGACAGAAAATCAATGCACGGTACCAGTAGGCTGTGTGTGGACATTTCAACTATAAATATCTTTAAATAATACACGAATACTATCTCCCAGGCAAGCGAAAATTTCCCTATTTTCAAGCCCCTTGTTCTGCAAACAGCTGGAACTGGTTTCCAGCAGCAGCCAACAACCCATTTCACTGCACACCTAGAGACCAGGCCCCCAAACCGGTACCCTAATTAGGACATCATCCCTAGGATAATTCCCATCTAAACCACTGAGAATTCCGAGTCAGGATTGCTGAGGTCTCTCCTTAGAGGAGGAACTAAATTAAAAACTCTAAACTCATTTTTATTAATTAGAGACCCCAGGAAGAGGGGGCAGAGCTGCGGGGCTGGGGTTTAGAACTGGGTCAGTAAAAACAGAGATGCTCGGGTTCATTCCCAGGCTGACACATTCCTCCTCCTACCTCCAGGAGACTCCTCAGGGCTTTTTTTTTATATTATTTTATTTTATTTTAAAAAAGCAGGATGTTCTGTGCCAGAGACCACAGTCTGGTGATCAAATTCTGTGCTCGCCGCACAACCGAGAAGGGCTTTGCACATCTTGCAGCAGTATTCCCAGACTGCCACTTGCGGGGGCAAAAAAAAAAAAAATAGAGTTATTTGGCTAATAACGAGAGCAGCCAGCTTAGCCACAAGAAGGTAGGAACAAAGGCTGGAAAATAAGGACTGTCAAGTTTTTTGAGTCAGCAAAAGCCTTTTCCAGAGTCTCTAAATGCTGAGCTAGAAGAGGAAATGCCTTTTGTTCAAAGGCAATTAAAATTAAATGTGACATGACTGAATACTGGAGACATCTAAACTCCTCCACTCTCTTATGTTACCCTTTTTCCAGAGACCGTATGGTCTGAGGAAATGCAATTCCAGCTGTAGGTGTTCCCTTTCCGAGGGTAAGATTTCAGAGTCGCTCCGTTCTGCTAATTCAAAGCTTACAGGAACGACCAGAGGAGAAACACAGAGCCGTAGAAAAAGCACTCAACTTCCCATTTTCTTCATTATTTTTTTTTTTTCATCTGGCTTTAAACGGCTGCTCCAGTTGCACAATGTTTAGGTTGAAAGGAAGCACTTAAGAAAGAACATCACATTCTTTCATTGTGTGCCAGAACATAATTAGCTAGAGAATGCCTCTGAAGAAGCCTGTCCGGACTTTTTTCCCCTCAAATACAGATGAAACTGAAGACTGGACACGGCTGGCTCCCAGGAGCTGTCTCTGCACTGTCCAACTGATGACAAGGGGGGTTTGAAAGCCCTAAACTTACTTTTTTTTTTTTTTTAATAACCTGCATTCGGAAGAGTATTATTTTTTAGAGATACGATTTTATGAAATACATTGATCAAAAATTGTTGGTGTGGTTGCCCACAGCAGAATTCCAAATGCACAAACAGCCACTTCAGAAGGATTCCAAAAGCACAGTCTGAACTGCAATCAGTGCAACCAGTGGAAACGCAGGGATTTCTGAACATTCAGACACGTTATTTCTACATTTCAACCAAGTTACCCGAGCTTGAAGACATTCCTTTTTTTCTTCTTTTAATAAGTATTTAAACCTCATCTAGTGTTCGTAACTCTGACTGGGTTTTTTCTCAAGCTGCATGTAAATAAATGTTGGTAAGGGGTCTGTCCTTTTCCCAGCCCTCTGTGTTGCAGCCAGGGGACCAACTTGTGTGGACACATGTATTTTCTGGGGACAGGAGCTCCCTGGCCTGTCCCCGTGACCTGTGACGTTATGTCCACCCAGGAAAAGTGCTGGCACCATCATTTTTTCCCCACCATCTTCCCACCCAGGGCAATGAGATGCAGGTTAATGACCACGTGCAGCAGCCACACCTGCCTCTCTATACTCCTAGCGAATATTTCAATTTGGAATAGCAAGGTGGAAACCTACTAAAATCCTACCAAAAGCACAACAGCTTTGGCAGAGACGATGCTGTGCAGGGGAACAAATCTGTGGGAACTGCTGACATGATACCATCCACGTTGCCCCAGCATGGGAGGCAGACATCCAGCTCCGTGGAGGAAGTACTGGGAGAAAAAGCAGTAATTACCTGCTACTGCAGGAATTAAGAAGAGAGCATTTCAATAAAAAGACTGTCAAGGGTTCCCATGTTCTGAGAGATTACCCTTCCATCCCACAGATGACCCTAATGGGATGAGCGCAGAGCTGCTTCGGTCACTTAGCAAAGTGCTGCTTAATTACAAGAAAGAACGGTGTGGTGACAAGATGGCCCTGGCAGGGGTTCCATGGTCACTCTTCTCCGCCTTCATCGTCAGGTGGTGGCTTCCAGAAATGAAGAAGCAGTTTTGGCTTCTCTCTTCCAACCATCCAGGTCCCTTCAGGACCACCGTTCGCTCTGTACTTGGCTGCCTTTGGGTGGCAGAAACGCCCAGAGAGAAAGACAAAATGGAAAAAAAGGATGGATTTCTTGAGAACTCCCCCAGTAGCTGGCACCTGCAGAGGGAGGAGGCCATTGTGGGACGCTTCGGTGCTGGACGTTGGGGAGAGAAGCTCCCATGGTGAACTTCTCCCTCGTGTCCTCATTTCTCCACTCCAACGCCGACTTATCCCAGGGAGACGGGCAGCTCCAGGAATTCCTTGTGGTGTTTTATCCTGGCTCTGCAAGGCTGGGCATCTGAGTCCTCTTCCTGAAGGAGCACCAGGCAGTGATGATGTTCTGCCATAGGGGAGGTAGAGGAGGAGATGCAGAACCACCCCGAGAACCAGCACCTTCTATTTCACGAATGAAACCAGAACGATTTCTCCCCAACAGCTTCCAGGCTCTTGCAGTACATTATGCATTAATGCTGTTAATTAAACTTAGGTTAACTCCCTATCTCTGTAACACTTTACCAAAAAAAAAAAAAAAATCCTATATGCTTTAATTAGTGCTAAGTGACTTTCCAGGCTACGAGAAAAGATTAGCTGCTGACAGCAGCCAGCCCTGGGCCAAATCAAAATATCCCACTCTGATGCCAAGTGACACTTGATGGGGACTCACAAGCAGGACAGCCCATTTGGAGGGAACCCTAGAGCAGGTTTCACTGTCCCCACTGAAACCCTAACCTGAGTAAGCCATACTTTTTGAATCAGAATTTACAAGATCAACTATTACTTTAAATATTAAGTTTAAAATAATCAAGCGTAGGACAAATCTCAGTGACAAGTGTTAACGAGCTCTCTCTGCTTTGAAAATACGCACGACGGGACACGTGGGACCACGGATCCGTGGATCTGCAGGTGGACAGACCCACAGCCTATGTCCTCTTCAGCTGCCCCTGCCCAGGGAGAGGAGGGTGACAGCAGCTCAGACCCACCAGCTCCTGTCCTACACCGACCTGGGGTGCCCCATTCACCCTCAAAATCAGCTCTCTCCTGCTGCTCCTCAAACGTTGCCGCCTGCAGCAACATCGGGGCCATGAAAGACAGGAAAAAGTTAAAGGGGAAAAAAAAAAAAAAAAAGTTCTTTTCCAGTTAAGGAATTTTGTCTGATGTAGTGTATAATTTAAAAGACGCATTCCCGTATAGCTTATGGTTTCTGAAATTCAAATACGATCCATTTCTCATGGAAACGACTAGAAATAAAACACAGGATCAGCACAGCACTGGAAAAAAAGGCTGTTTGCCAGTTAGGCTGAAATGTACCTCATGGACCCGACTCCCACCGCTCGCTGATCACAGGGGAAATCAACCCAAGCTCAGAAGAACACAGTGCCAGCCACTGAAATTGAGACAAGACCTCCAAAATTTAGAGAAATACTTGAAATTCTTTTCTGAACAAAACTTCAGCTCAAAACCTGAACCAAAGCCTCAGAACTGGAGGTTCTGGTGGCAATGGGAAACGGAACTGCCCGGGGTCCATCCCCAGTGCCACCGCTGAGCAGCTCCGGAGCACAGGGGGGTGCAGGCATCCCAGCTCCACAGCAAGTATTAAAAATCTTATTCCCCACCTGGGAAAGCCAAGGAGCGTGTCGTTTCCCACCTGGGAAAGCCAAGGAGCGTGTCCCTCACCCCAAGGCCCTAATTATATGCAGCTTCCCATCCTTGGAAGAGAGTCAGGGATGCTGAAGCTTCAGTACCACGTACCCCTGGGCATGACCAAGCTCTTGGTGCTTCGGTGCCCTCCTTCACCCCAGACACCAGCCCTGCAGTTCCTTCCCTAAAACCCCCCGTTTATAACAACCCCTGCCGGGCGCCCCGTGCCACCCGCACAATACGAAGAGGCCTCAGCGTTAGACAAATTTTTTTCCAGCTAAAAGAAAAGGCTGAACACTTCCAACAGAGAAGGAAAACAGCATGAAGAACACGGTTTGCCCCGGCCAAAAGGAGCAGACATTTCCTCCTTGATTCAGAAACGAAGCCAGGGCGTCTGACCCGGCGCCGCTCTGCTCAGAGGGTCACTTTAAGCACGCTGAGATTTTTAACTTGGGGTGGTTTGTACTGAAGAAGGGAAGCACAGACGTGTCAGGATGCAAAAAAAAACCCTGCCTAATGAGAGGGCATGCAAATTTAAGCCCTGCCACATCACTGGAGCTGGGAAGGCTGGTGGGTGGCAGCGGTGTGGGGCACGGGAGGGGACGCTCCCCCACATACACATCGCTCCTCCAGAAAATAAACCAGATTGCTGAGCTGACTGCTTTTATTTCCCTTTGGATAGCAGCAATAATAAGTGAAAAAGACTTACCTAGCTGGATCTGTTCTTCTTTACCAGCCTGCAGGAGAGAAAAGAAAGACAAGGACAAAGTCGTTAGTGTAATCACTAGGAGGTGTGTGACAGCAGAGGGATTCTAAAAGGGTGAAAAACGACTCGGGTCTGTATTGCACCGTTTTTTACATCTCTGCTCTTGGTTTCCAGGGATGGCACTTTTCCTGGACCGGATAAAAAGAGCCCACGGTAAGTTTAATGTCAATCAACAGAGGCGCTGGGGAACCCCGATGCGGAGTGACCCGTCTGTACATCGCCACGCCAAAAAAGTTAGTTCCTGGCCCGCGGACAGGCCCCGGAGCCCCCGGGCCGTGAGGAGCAGCGCGGTGACAGCTCCCGGTCCCCCCGCGGGACCCCCGCACCCCGGGGCACGGCGGGGGGATGGCTCCGGGGGCGGGGATGCTGCGGGGGGGC